CCTGGCTGTGGGTGTGCAGGACCGGTTCGTGGATCCCCAGATGATAAGCCGAGTGCAGCTCACGGGCATGGCAGGAGTCCTCACAGCAAAGCCAGTGCACACCGCAGCGCAGCAGAGGGCTCAGCTTGGACCTCCCTGGCCACAAAGTGAACGTCCACTCTGCAAGGCAGAGGGGCAGGTATCCAGACGCTCAGAGCCAAGCTAAAATGTGAGCTCACGGTCAAGGCTGCCGGTGCTGTGGATCAGCCAGTCAGGACACTGCCTGCAGCACTGGCATCCACGAAGCCACCGGTTCTAATCCCAGCAGCCCGCTTCCCACCCAGCTCCCTGCTTGTGGCCTGGGAAAGCAGCAGAGGATGGCCCAGTGCTTGGGATCCCGCACCCGTGTGGGACTCCTGGAAGAAGCTTCTGGCTCCTGGCTTCAGATGGGCTCATCTCTGGACTTCGCTCCCATCTGGGGAATGGTGTGGTGGTAGATGGAAGATTTCTCTGTCTCTCCCTCTCTCTATAACTATTTCAAATAAGTAAATGACTTTTTCAAACGTATCGCCGCATTTTTAGAGGCAGAGACGTTGTTGTCATGGAGACCGTGGCCATCCAGGCACTGGCCGGCCGCGGGGGGACGGGGGGGCGTGGCCGCGTGTACAGCTCACAGCTGAGGCAGGCATGCCGTACCAACACGCTCCACAAGGGATGTGGCTTCAGCTTTCTCTGAGTTCCCCTGATTGTCCTGTCCTGGCCTCACCCCCACACGGGGTCCCCCGAAACTCCCCCTCCCCTGTGGGTGTGCCCACCGCAGCCTGGCCCCTCCCTCAACATCCCTGCCCCCAGCTCCGACCCACTCGAGGGCTCTCGCTTTGGCCGCTGCCTCCGCTCCGTCCTTGGCTCCTAGAAGACCCAGCCCTACCCATCCCCGGTTCTGGCTGTGTCCAGCAATGCTGGAGGCAGAGGGCTGGGGCAGCGGGTCTGGGCAGTAGCCAGAGCCTGGGAAACTTGAACTGAGGCCTTCAGCTGCCTCCCCTACCCCAGAGGCAGCGCTGGTCTCATCCCCACCCACTGGCCTCACCTCCTGTGGGCAGCACTGGCCCCACCCGCACCAGCTGGCCGGCTCCTCCACACTGCTGCCCCCCGACCCTACAGCATGTTCCTCTGACTGGCCCTTGGAGCCTCAGGGTGGAACCCCCAGGAGGGTGGCAGTGCCAAGCATGCAGTGCACATGGTGCTGGGTGCCCCCACAGCCCCTGGATCTGGCGGGCCCCTGCAGTTGGGCGCTCAGCTCTATTGGCAACGGTGGCACACAGGTTGTCCTGTCCCAGCATGCCCGGTCCACCAGGAAGGCCGGAGTTTCCTGGTGGGGGCAGTCTGCATGGCCTAGCAGTCACAGGGAAACCTGAGCAGGAGAGGGGCTGGACGCTAGCGAGGGCCACCCAGGGCTCCCCTCACCCCCAGCACCCCTTGGGGCCTCAGCAGACCCTAGCTTCTGGGAGCCCCCACAAGCACGCTGTGCACTCACCCACACAGCTGTGTGAAGAGCAGGGCTGAACAGGCTGGGGACGGGCAGCATGGGTGAGCGGTCATAGGCCCTGCAGGAAGAACCCAGGGGCCCAGGTTGGGTGTAGAGCTGCGGGACCCCTGCAGAGAGCGTCTGTGAGGGCACAGGCCGGCGCGAGCCCAGCACAGCCCTCGGCCAAGTGCTCCTGGTCCAAGCTTCAGACAGCCTCGGACCCTCCCCTGAACATCCCAGGCCACAGGGGCCTGGAGCAGACCTGGAGTCCCAGTGTGAGCCTGCGGGAGGGTGGCCAGACACTCCAGACACTTCATCCACGGTTTGGGGTGTCCCGTGGCTAGAAGAGCAGCCCGGGGGGGCAGCAGGAAGGGGAATGAAGAGAGCAAACCCGGAGTCCCTGGGCAGAGGGGGTCCGCAGTGAGCCGAGCTCTCCAGCTGCCCCGCCCAGCACTGCCCCTCAGGCCCAGCTGCCCCTGGGCACTGGCACCAGTAAACCCCAGTTCCCAGGTCTCCAGGCTGTCATATCCTGCACCCTCCAGCCCACTCCCCACCCTCACCCAGGCTAGGGCAGAAGCAGCTGGACCCCTCACTCTAGATCACACTCCCCACACACGCACACGGAGGCTTGGCTGCTCACGTACTCCCCGGGGCCAGGGTCAGGGCCACGGAGTTGGGACTCAAGGCCAGCCCTCCCCAAGCCCCAGACGCAGCTCCCAGTTCTGGACGCTGGCGCAGGGCCAGTGGGAGCCGGGCCGACAGGCCCCGCCGACAGCCCGCGACGCCAGGTGTCAGCCTGGCAGGCAGCACCACCCGCCTGCCCGGTGCATGTGGCACTCTATTTTTAAACATCCCCTCGGAGCGTCATCCATCCCAGAGCAGGCGCCGTTCCAGGCAGCTCAAATCCACAACCGGCCCGGTGATCCCCGCCAGGGCGCCAGCCAGCCCCTGCCCACCACGAGCCTAATCATCACCCAGCCGGGGGGTCCCCGAGTGTCAGGCAGGCAGCCCTGGATGCAGTAGTGGGGTCCTGGGAACCTCATCGCGTCCAGCGAACAGAGCAGGCTTAGGCTGCAGGTTAAGCCTCCTCCAGGGACGCCTGTACCCCCTTGGCTTGCTAGTCTGTGTGCTGGCTCCCCACTGACAGGCTGGTAAGGCAGCAGTGCGGCCTCAGTGCGTGGGCCCCGTATCCACGGGGAGCTCCAAAGGCAGTTCCAGGCTGCTGGCTTTAGGCTGCCTCAGCTCCAGCTGCAGGCACTGGGGAGTGACCCAGCAGACGAGACGACCCCCCGCCCCACCTTTTATATAAACACGAACACTCGGTGAGTAGCCCTCCCACACAGGGGGCCTGGGCACTCAGTAGAGGGGGCACAGTCCCTGCTGGTGCGACCTCGTGGGGTGGAGGTGTCTTCGCCACGTGTTCCCCCACGTGCCAGGTACCACCTGTGTCAGGGCAGCAGGGCAGCTTCAAGGCTGGCTCTGGACACAGGGAGAGCGAGGGGGTAGCAGAAGGGCTCCACACCCCCTGAGCCCGCAGCCCTCTCGGGCCTCGAACTCGAGAGACGCAGAGGTCCTGACCAATGCCCAAAGGACAGCTGCTTCCCCTCCACCGGTCCCCAGGATGCCGCCGTCGCCCTGCCCCCACCAAACCTGTGCAGGCTTCAGGGTGCAGCCAGCGGCCCGGCCCTCCCCACCCGTGACGGCTCGTGGATGGACATCGCCCAGTGTCCAGCAGCGTCTTCCCTGAGGGCTCCAGCAGCTGGACCCCCCTTTCCCCCACAGAGAAGGTTCTGGCCCCAGCAAGCCAGGCTGTGGGGTCACTGGGGAGCCCCCAGGAAGATGACATTTTCCTAGCAGGCCTCTAGCAAATGCCTCATCACAATATTTGGTCTTTTCTGATCTCAAGCCTCCGTCCGGGCTCGGCGCGGAAGCCTGGCTTAGCGGAAAGGTCAGGGGCTTGCAGACCAAACAGCACCAGAACAGGCGGCCCCACTCCTTCTGGCTCTAGCTGGCCATGTCTTCCTCTGTGGGCAGAGCTGCAGCTGATGGCGCCAGCCACGCTGGCTGTGGGCACGTGGCCGTGGACACGGCCACATCTGTCACCCCAGAAGCGTGGGCCCCCATCAGTGGTGACTCCTGGGAGCAGGTCTGGTGTGTCCTGACCAGGCTTTGAGGTCAACTGGGCTGTCTTTGGGGTGCTCTCCCCGTCCATCCCTCTGCGCCCGGACCCCCAGGAGCAGCCCTGGCTGGGAGGAGCATCTGCCCCATGCCATCCCGTGACAGCCACCACAACGGCACCCTGGCACTTCCAGCACTCGCCCAGGCTGCAGGCCTGGACCTCAGCTGCCTGCAGCCTCTGCCAGGGCCGGCCGTTTTTCCTTTGAAGGCTGAATTTTTGGGCTTTTATTTCTGTGTGCAGACTCCCTGATGAGTTGGGGTCACTGTTGGAGAGCAAGCCCAAGAAAGACTGAGAGCGGAATAACAAAAGCCGGGCCCAGTAGGGCGCCCAGGCTGGGCTCCCCAGAGGCCTCTTTCTGGGCCTGAGCCTGGGCGACACAGGGGTCCTAGACTCTTCCCTCAGAACCCGCAGGTTCCTGCAGGGAAGCCAGCAGGTGACGCGACGCTGGGGAGGACAAAGCAGTGCCAGAGGCAGCAGCAGGCTGCCCACCTGCACAGGTACATCCCACCGCCTACCGTATCTGGCTCAGGCCTGGACCCCAGGGCCACTCCGGTGATCATTCCCCCAGAGCGCAGAGCCCAGGGCCGCTCCCTGCTTCTGCTGCCCCTCCCCAGCCCGCCCCGCCTTAGTGGTGCCAAAGCGCCGCTTCTGCCCCCTTCCCCCACCACGGGGGCACGGAGGGAAGGGCGGCCCTGCCAGCTGTGCAGCGCTCCAGGCACGCCGGCGGGAAGCCTCCGCGTCCTCCCTTCTTGGAGTGCGGGAAGTTGGAGCGATCTTGGGGGGTGCCCCGCAGCCCGGGGGGAAGGGGGCTGGAGAGACTCGGCTCCCCACAGCGCAGCCACACCCCCCGCCCCCGCAGGATGCTGGGCCCGGCGTCGCTCACGCTCACCGGCGGCCGAGCCTGCCTGAGCGCGCGTGCCGGGGAGCGACCACCCGCCTGCGCTCGGCGGGGCGGGGACGGCGGCTGCGGCCGCCCCTCTCCCCCGCCCCACGCTGCTAGGCGCGGCCGCGCGCGCCGCGCCGGCTCAGTGGAGGCGCGCGGAGCCAGGAGGGCGCGGGCGCGGCGGGAGGCGAGCGGACCGAGTGCGCTCTGCCCGGCACCACCTGCTTGCCCGCGAAGCGCGAGGGGCCTCGCAGAGCCCGGGACTAGCGCAGGGCGCAGAGAGGGCCAGCGTCGGGAGCCTGAGCCGAGCCCCGCTCCCTGGGGCGCGCAGTCTGGACGGCGGCCCCCTCCCCTGTCTCGCGTGCCCTCTCTCCGCCGAGGGCTCCTTCCCCTCCGTCCCTGCCTGGATTGCAGCCGGGAGGCACCCACCCGCCATGCACCTCAACAGCTCCGGGCCCAGCGCCCCCGGGGCCGACCTCTTCCCGCGCCCGCAGGTGGAGCTAGAGGCGGCGCTGCCGGCCCCAGACGCCGGCAACAGCTCGGCCAACGGGTCTGAGTGCGCCCACGCGGCGCCCGGCAGTCAGCTGGACGTAAACACCGACGTGTACTCCAAGGTGCTGGTGACGGCCGTGTACCTGGCGCTGTTCGCCGTGGGCACGGTGGGGAACGCGGTAACGGCGTTCACGCTGGCGCGCCGGAAGCCGCTGCAGAGCCTGCAGAGCACAGTGCATTACCACCTGGGCAGCCTGGCCCTGTCCGACCTGCTCATCCTGCTGCTGGCCATGCCCGTGGAGCTGTACAACTTCATCTGGGTGCACCACCCCTGGGCCTTCGGCGAAGCCGGCTGCCGTGGCTACTACTTCCTGCGCGACGCCTGCACCTACGCCACGGCCCTCAACGTGGCCAGCCTCAGCGTGGAGCGCTACCTGGCCATCTGCCACCCTTTCAAGGCCAAGACCCTCATGTCCCGCAGTCGCACCAAGAAATTCATTGGCGCCATCTGGCTGGCCTCGGCGCTGCTGGCCCTGCCCATGCTGTTCACCATGGGCCAGCAGCACCGGGGCTCCGACCACCAGCATCCGGGCAGCGTGGTGTGTACCCCCATCGTGGACACCGCCACGGTCAAGGTGGTCATCCAGGTGAGCGTCCAGCAGATGTCCCAGGGCACCAGGCCAGGTGTCTCGGGGGTGTCCGTGGCCCTTGTGGTGGGGCAGGGGGCGTGTCCAGGGGGCTGACGGGGGCTGGGGACAGTCCCAGGGGCAGTCCAACCCGCTTCCCACCCTGCCATGCAGGGTAGTCAGGCCTCAGCCCTTACCCCTGCGAGGGTGACTGCAGTCCTGGTCTCTGTCCTCCCTGAATGGGCCTCAGTGGACCCCGGAGTGTCCCGTAAGTCGGGTCACCATGTGTGTGTGCTGTCTGTAGAGGGTCCCTTTAGGTCAGCTTCTCTAAGGGCTACCCTGTTGGGGGCTCAGGTCCCCCAGCTGCCCGCCCCAGCTCAGACTTCAGACTTGGAACTGATCGAGTTGGCCTCGGGCTTCCTGTCTGTGCAATGGGATAATCATAGCAGCTGAGACCGTGGGAGTTCTCTGGGATACAGAAGCCTGCGCTGGCCTACCATTGCTGCCTCCAGCCGCGGGACCCCTGGCTGGAACGGCTGTCCTGATCAGGGGAGGGTCCTGAGACATGAAGAAAGCCGGGCCCAGTGGCAGGATGGAAGGCTCACAGGACTGAGGAGGGGCCAGAGGCAGGCAGGGCCGAGGTGGCCTTGAGTGGCACCCTGGCCCATGGGGGAGTGGCTTGTAGTGTCACAGGTGGGTTGGGGAGACAGAAGAGCAGCTGTCCGCACGTGGTTGGCCTCTCTGTGCTATACAGTGGGTGCGGTGACGGCAGTGGCCAGTGGGGTCTGTTGCCTGCCTTTTTGTCACTGGGTCCTGCCTGACCACTGAGGCAGCTGTAGGAACGGAACCGGCTTGGGGTCTCCGTACCCCCCATCGGACAGTCCCTCTAGAGTCCAGCTCCCCGCAGCCAGCCCGGGCACTGCAGGGAGAAGTAGGGCAAGGCCTCCCATGCCCCCAGGCTTTCGCCTTTCCCAGACTTACCCAAAGGGCTGCCCACAGCCAAGTTGGGGCCTCCCCCGTCTGCTGGGGGAGACCATGTGGGCACCCTCCAGCTCTGGCTGAGCTGCCCCTGGGCATGTCCCTGCAAGAACTGGCCATGAGCAGAAGTTGTCTCCCAGCTGCTGCTCCTGTGGTATGGTCAGCCTTGGCTGAAGGAGGCAGAAAGTTCTGTCTGCCTGGTAGACCTGGGCACAGGTTCCTTGTCCTGACACGCCCGGCCTGAGCAGGGCTGGGTGCGAACGAGGACGCAGGCGTCGTGGCGTCCTGAGGGCCATGGGGTGCAGCCACCCGTACTGTTAGGCAGGCCTCCCCACCCCAGTGGCAGGGCCAGCAGCCAGGAAGCCCTGTGCCATCTGAGCCTGGAGCCATCACTTTTCAGCAGGCTGCCAGGGGTGGGGTGGGGCTGGCACAGGTGGCCAACAGGACCCAAGAGCTGCGTCATAGCCTTGTCAGTCCCACAAGCTGGGCAGGCAACAGGCAGCCCTGGCACCAGGGCACAGGTGCTCGCCTGAACTTCAGGGAAGAGGAAGGCAGCTCACTGCCCCACTCCCAGTGTCCGCTCTTCTGGCCACAGCCCAGCCTGGCCTGGCCAGTCCGCTGCTTGACTGCTCTCAGCTCTGCCATGTGCTGCGGCAGTGGCCTTGGGCTTGTCCCTGTGCGCCTTGTTCCCACGTGTCCAGTTCCCACGGGCTTGCTGTCAGTGCTGGCCAGGTTCTCCTGTGTGCACCTCGCAGGTGGGATGCTGGCACACTGGTTCCCACCGGCTCAGTGTCCACATCCTCTGCTTTTCCCTGAGTCCTGCCACCTCCGTGCTCAGAGCTGGGGCCAGGGCCCCCCACGAGACTGGCTGCTGCTGGCATCTACAGACAGCCACGGTTGTGGGTGCCAGAGAAGTTAGAAAAGGAGGAACAAGACTCTTGTGGATTTTAAACAGGATCAAACATACCCTGCGGCTTGCTGAAAGGCTGAGCTGAGGGCTGGAGGAATTATAAAAACAATGTTGCAAAGGATACACAGTGGAGGGTTGCTGCTCCATCCCTGAGACGGCTTGTTTGCATTTAGCCATTCTTAGCCTTCCCTCTGCTAAGGGTGAATTTATTGTAAAAATTTAATAACTGCTTTGATGGGCGTAAAGGTTAGGAGTGTTCCGGGAGAGTTTTGTGTTCTGGTAACTCCAGAATGGCTCCTGTATTAGCTCAAGCTGGACATGGCTGGGGAGCACACGGGCTGCCCCTGCCGGCTGTGACTGCTCACAGACCCGCTGCTGGAGGCCCTGAGAGGCCCGGGTGTGTCGGCTCCCGTGGTCCGGCGGGCCGAGGGCAGCCGTCCAGGTCGGGCTGGCCCCCGGCCAGCGTTGGGCTTACCTCTCCATCAGTGTCAGGCCCAGCGCCCGGGAGGAAGTGGCTGTCAGGACCGCTGTTTATCACCTGGGGCCGAGGGAGAAGCTGGCAGGGCTGGGACCCTTTGGATCTCTGTCATCGGTCCCCCTCCAGCCCTGCTGCCGCTCCTGGCTCCTGGGTGTCTTGCAGCAAGGGGAGGGGTCCTCTGCAGTGCAGGGCCCCCTGGGGCCGTGACAGTCGGCAGCTCAACTCGCCTGCTGCTCCAGCAGGCAGCCCGGGAACCTGGCTTCCCACGAGCCTGGAGCAGCAGCTCAGCCGATGGTGGCTCCTGGCTGCCTCCCGACAGCCTTTTGGGAAGAAGCTGTCCTCCCCATGGTGCACAAGAGACTCCAGTGGGAGCGCCGGCCCTGCCGACCCAGACACCCCAAGGGTGTGGGGAGCAGCACGAGTTCATTATTCCCCTACCCCGGGCTGGGCAGGTCAAGTCCAGCTCCAGCTGTCAGGGCTGTACACAGCCTGCCCAGCACCCCAGCCGGTGCTCCGTGCCTACCCAACACCACTGCCAGACCCCTGCCACTGCCCGGCACTCCCGCCGGCCCCATGCTACTCCTTCAGAGCGGCTCTGGACACTGCCACCTGTGCCCCAGCGTCCCTCTGCCCCCTCATCCCAAGTTCTCCAGACCTCACTGTCCCACTAACACACACAGATGCTGAGCGGCCCTGGCCACCCCTTGGCAGGGCAGAGAAGGGGAGAGACAGGCTGGGGATGCACTGTCCCTCCTCCCAGCGGCCTCCCCAGGACAGACTCTGGTCTGACCACCCCAGCATTCCGCTCTGCTCTGGCCACAGCTCCCCATGCAGGGCTGCGGGACCCTCAGCATCCGCCCCCCTGGATGTGAAGACCACCCTTCCCACCAGCAGCAGCTGTGGCCACCCAGGCTCCAGCAGCTCGCAGGGTCAGGGCTCCGTGCGTTGCTCTCAGGGTTTCCAACCACTCATCCGCTCCCGTTGCTTTAATCTGCAGTTGGCAGATGTGTGCTGTGGGGCTTGTGCGTTTTATCTGCTGCCTAGCTCTTCTGTTCAATTTTAAAACCAGTTGTTTGTTCTTTTGTTGAGTTTTAAGATTTTTTTATTTTTCTTTGTTTGGAAGGCAGAGAGAGAAAGGGGTGGAGAGAGAGACTTCCTGTCTGGAGGTGGCGCTGTCCTGTAACGGGTAGAGCTGCCCGCTACAGCACTGGCATCCCATGTGGGCACCGGCTCATGTCCCAGCTGCTCCACTTCCAATCCTGCTCTGTGCTAACACACCTGGGAAGCAGCAGACCTAAGTGCCCCGGCCCTGCCCCCACGTGGGAGATGCAGCTGCACATGTTGGCTCCTGGCTTTATGGGGAGTGAAGCAGAGGACGGAAGAGCCGTCCCTCTCTTCCCCCAATCTTCTCCCTAGATGTTCCACCCCACAGGCAGGGCTGGGCCAGGCCAAGGCCGGGCGTCGGGGCTCAGGAGGGGTCTCCCACGTGGGCGGCAGGGACCCGGTGGGCCTGGGCCTCAAGTATGGCATTCCAGGAGGGCCGCGGGGTGCACAGGGTGTCGGTTGCCAGCCGCCTGGCCGCCCCTTGCTGGGTGCCACAGCCCTGGCTCACCCCCTAACAGTAAGGGGGAACTTTAAATTCAGTAAATGCCCTGATTTCTTCCAGCTTTTTCTTTCCCGGATTGAAAACCAGGCCCTGGTCCAGCGTTGCCTGGACATTTCTGCCGTGTTGTGAACCAGGAGTTGCACCGTCTCGTGTCTTACACGCAGGCCTGTGGCCCACTTGGAATTGACCCCCGAGTGCGAGCCGCCCTGCTGCTCCCAGCCGGCAGGAAAGGCCTGTTCTGTCTCGGAGGTCAGCCTGCACTCGGGCCGGCTGTCTGGGGGAGTCAGGCTGTGCTCACAGGTCTCCATGTGCTGGGACTTGGGCTGTACTCAGGGGTCCTGCTGTGCGGGGCCGGGGGGCCTGGCCACACTCGGGAGTCGGGCTGACTGCTCTCACGGTCTCTTCAGGCCCACCACGTGGACTCCCGGCGCTCTGCTCCTTCCCTCCCCTTTCTCAGGGCTGTCAGAACGTCCCTGGGAATTCTAAGGCGTAGCTTAGGGTTCACAATGAATTTTCACCCAATGTCCTGTCTTTGAAGCCCACCTTCATGGACCTGCTGCAGGCTCCGCCCGTGGGCGGGGTGCCGGGTGCTGCTTGACAGGCTGGGACACGCAAGAGCCGTGACGCCAGACGTCCTCTCACACGCGGGGTCTCACGCGGGGTCTCACGCGGGGTCTCACACGCGGGGTCTCACACACGGGGTCTCACGCGGGGTGTCTCACACGGGGTCTCACACGCGGGGTCTCACACGCGGGGTCTTTCACATGTGGGGTCTTTCATAATGATGGGGTTACACACACGGGCTTTCTCACACAGCACCTTTAACACACACGAGGTCTTTGTCTTGTGCACATGGGTCTGTCTGCACTCGGTTCTTTGTTCACACACGTTGCTGGAGTAAGTGCGTTCGCGCTAGACGGTTTTGTTTTCCCTCGAGGCCCGATGCCCCTTGCTGCTTCGTGTGTCAGGTTGCTTGTTTTAGAGTTTTGTGTGTGGAAGTCGGAGTTACAGAGAGGGAGAGAGTTTACTTCCGTTGGGTCACTACCCTC